ATCAATATGCGTTTTTGCATTGCATAGCTGCAAAAAATGCATAAAAATATCCCTGCATTGTCCCAGGTTCCTACGTTTACAGCTCCCGAAATCATTTCCCGCCAAAAATTTTACATGTCTTCTTTCAGGCATCCGTGCGTGAGATCTAAGCGTGTATGAGCGTTAATTTTAAGGCGATCGGGTAGCACATTGCGTAGGTTCCCTTGCTTTTCCGGTGACTGGGTTGGAAGTGGGTGACAGCCCACCCACCTCGGAAAACGCACACGCTCATCTCGGGAAACGCACACGGATAACTTTTCGACAGCACCCACTTTATGCGTTTTTGCTCCAGCGCCATAGAGCTCCTACAGAAAGCAACAGGATCGCTACAGTCTTGCCATCAGACAATGCTGCACTGAAGCCCAGACTGGAACGCACGGGTTTGCCAGTGCGATCATGCCTTTTTGCGCTAAGCTTGAAGCGGTCAGGCCGTCACGTATATGAATGGTTGTTGCCTTACACTTACCTTGTGCGCTCACTAGTATAAATCATCGTGAATTTTGCATAAAGGAAAATGGGCAATTTCCGTTTAACGGTCATTCTTTGATAGAGACCTAGCTGTTCAGTGAACAGTTTTCCCGCCAAGACTTTTAACTGCCCATATGCAAGAACCACACATGCCAGATGGCTAAATTTGAAATCTTTGAGATGTACATCGGCATTCCCTTAAAACTGCAGCTTTTCATCTTTTCTGGCTCATGACTTAGCAGTTTTCCGGCCAAAACTTTTACATATCCGTACGTGAGTACAACGCCTACCTGCACGTTGAATTAGAAAACTTTTTGGCGTACTTGGATGGGGTACATCCTCTTTGAATTTCAGCTTCCCTGCTTTTCTGGTTCCCGAATTAGCAATTTTGCCGCCAAAAATTTCATTTGCTTGTACGTAGGGCCAAGACATGAGTGAAGTTTTGCACCGCGGACCTGAGATGACACTTGGCTGGGGGACCCACTGACAAAATTTCAACGCCAAAGCCTGCTTAGTTGGCGAGTTGAAATACACACATATGCAAACACGCACACGCACACACGCACATACATACACACACCCACGCGCACATAACCACACACACGTACACAAATATACAAACACACACTATGGGTCGACGCAATATGCGTTGTTATGCGTTTTTGCTGTGAAGCGCTACAGCATTGCTACAGCCAGCAAAAACGCATTTTGTCGAGAAGCTGTCTG